TTCTGTCTTCAGGGGGTCTTCATTCTTGACGTGAGGGGCCTTGATCGCACCTTCCCGCATCAACGGGCTGTTCCCTTTCTAAGGTGGGTCGTCGCTCGATTGGTCGAGGAGACGGGCTTCGAGAGATGTCCCGACTACCTATCCACGGGGGAGATTGGGGATGTTCCTCTGTTTTTCAAGGAGGAGATTGAGGTCTCCTGTGTCTTCTTGGGGGTCTTCGAGCACCCTTAGTCTTTCTCCCTGGGTGAAGATTAGGTATTTGGTCTATTTATTTCCGCAAACAGTGCCCTGGTCGTGGCGTCTGCCCCGGCGGGGACGGGGACCTCGTGGAACTGGACGTGTTGGTAGTTCTAGGGAGGTGGCCGATCATCTTCATGTCGACGAGGCAGTGATGATGACGAAGCAGTTTCTCCGTCTCTATAGTCATAAGTCTCGGGCATATTAACGCTGGGGGCTGCATTATGGTCGGCGGTACCGGTGTTGTCGAGGCCGGCATTGTTGTCGGTGGTGTTCTTGTTGAAGTCGATGATATAGAAATTTATGTTGTCTGGAGTCTGGTCAGCCATGACAGTCGGGGATTGTTTAGCTTTGGTCTCAACTTAATAGAAGACGGGGGAGCAAGTTTTCCACAGGCGACGCCGCTGATCTTACCGGATCAGAAATGGACCGTCACAACTGGCTCGGGAAGAAGTTGAATGAGATGGGGGGTACCTACAAGAGACTCTGATGGCAAAGTAAGTTGCATAATAAGCAAGCAATTATGAGTTTAGAGAGATGAATTGAATATCTGACCCTCTTAGGAGAGAGGGTATTTATAGCCCCTAATGTTGGGCCAAGGTTCCCACTCTTGGGCCACGTTGAGGCCCAATAATAGGAACTGCCAGGGCTTACGCGTGTATAGAGTTCAGCAAGTGGCCTCCCCCCTGGTCAGCTGCTCCGCGAGACTAGAGTTGGACCCGTGATTTGTGGAGGGCAGTTTAAGATGACTGTCGTGGGATCGTAGGCCATGTCCTCCAACGGTCGGATGGGGAGTTGCCCAATGGTCCCTAACTTGGGTTGTCTTTGGGCTTCCCGTTCTAAGGGCAAGTGTAGGCCCAATCCAGATCATGAACCTTTATTAATTCAAATCTACCATTAAGTGATTAATTGAATCATTTTTGGTACTTTGGGTTGATGATAGGTTTATCACCTTGATCCACCAAGATAGGTGATTGATCTTGATGGTACTTTAGATTAATGGTAAGTTTGTCTTAAGGTATCATGAAAGATTTGATTGATATAATGATCTCATCTCTTAGACTTTTCTCTTGATCACTTTGTTAGTTTTAAACTATTGTGTGCATTCATGTAATACACTTATATTATTTTTGACCCGACCTCAGATAGGTGCAACTTCTACATAAGTTCACTTAAGATTTCTTAACATAGCGCCAAATTATCCTGAATCGGATTATTAACTCTAACATTAATTACTAACATTATTATTGTGCTAACTTTACTTTAATGAACTTTAATTTCTTGAAATTTTAATTCTTACCCTTTATTTTACACAATTTATCTTTAAGCATTACATTTCATGTCCTTTTAATTGATGTCATTTATGTTATGCCTTTTTCTTTTTTTCCCTTGGGCATTTCTTTTTCTCATTAAAAGACATTAATAAAGGCTACAAATATAAAAAAAAACTTGGCTCTGATCACTTGAACTATTGATTACTATCCATTGCTTTAGGAGTCAGACCTGTTGGACTTGGGATAGACCCTTCGCTTGAACTTTCATTTGATACCATAAGTTTTATCTAGACCACTTATCTGAGACTTTGGGTTGTTTCTTTGTGATCTCTGGTTTTGTCTTTTTGTTTTTCTTTTCATCTGATGCATGAATCGTTATCTGATACCTTGGATATCATTTGATACTTTGAGTCTTGTCTAATACCTTGGGCTTATCTGATGCTTTTACAATTCATCTGCTTGTGTGAATATTCATTTGATGCTTAACTTATGACTTAATCCAAAGGAAGAGAATGCTTTGCTTGACTTATGTCAAGTGATTGTTTCATTTTGGTTAGTTCACATGCACACACAAAGGCTTTCTCTTGGGCTACCTTACAATGAGACCATTTATTTATTTCATTTACTTTATGCTTTAGGATAATCTCTTTATCTCATACCCCTTCTTTAATTTTCAAAATCTTCTCTCTATTTCAAAAACTTCTTGTTTTCAAATTTGAACCTCTTTATAAATAAACCTTGACTTTGTCAAGTGATTTTCAAAATATTTTTTCTTAAATAAATGCTAAGACAATTTAAGCATATCAAACTCTTTTCAAAAGACTAAAAAAATACAAAACTCATTCAAAACTTTTGTGCCTTTTGTGCACTTTTCCTTTTAAAACTTTTTTCTTAAAGACTGGACATTAGTTGGTTCTTGAGGTGATGCAAACCATTATACTTCTACTATATGTTGTGAAGAGATTTGTATTTTCCACTTGAATGTTGAGAATTGACTTGCTGATTAATTGTGAATAGTAAGTGAGTTTTCCACTCGAATACAACAACATGTCTTTTCATTAAAATTAAACAAAACAAACATTTTTGTTATTTTTACCACGAACTATGAGATTTTGATTCTTCATTACACTTGGAGGATACGTAGGCACAAGGCTCTTGAGGTCTTGCCAAACAAAAAATCATAAAAACAACTTTTTTCTCATCCCATCAATAATTTTGAAAACAACATCTTTTTATAACACAAAATTTTCAAAGAGGTTCTTGCGGAGTACCATAGATGTTTTGGATGCTAATGCTTTCCCTTTTCATAACTAACCCCCGTATCTAGATCTCTTCTTTTACTAGTTTTATTTTTTTTTAAATTATGGGTTTTGTTCGATCTTTTCCCTTTTCCTTTGAAAACAATAAAGTTCGATGGTGACTTTTTCTTTTTTCCGAGTTAAGTTAATCAATAGCTTAATCTCAAAAATACCGCCGCAACAATAAGCAAAATGAGATGTAATAGTCAACGCAAAACAACTTAGAAATCTCAACAAAACAAAATAGTCTTTAACTCCCACATAAACGAAATAAGAATTAATTCAAGCGTTTTTACACAACCCAATGTTAAATGATTAGAGCAAGGCACCACTAGTCAAAACAATAAACTAAGAAGTAGCTCCAAGAGCTATCTTCTACTTACTTCAGCAATGCTACTCAACATCGACTATCCTGAAAAGGTAGTGTCGGTCAGAATCTACAGAGTAGATTCGAAAATGAAGGTGATCCTTAATATCTATGTCACTAGGGTCCCGACCATCCTCCCTAAAAATAATAGTGAAATAACAAGCTCACTGTTCATTTTGAGCCTCTATAGCAACATTCATATCCATGTAAGACCTGATAGAGGAAGAAAGACTGATAGCCATATCCCTTAAATCAAAGTTGTTGGGACTCCCTTATTCATCTTCTTTAGAAGAACCGTCAATACTTCCTTTATTAGAAACACTGAGAGGGTCCATCACCATTTTCTATAGAACCCTCACCAAGCCCAGAACTATCATTAGGGTTGAGACGGTTAACCTCTAAAGGGTTAACATTTTGGACATCTAAATATTTATATATTGTTGATAATGAATAATATCTACTATCAAGATCGTTCACCATGTTCTCTAGTATATTTTCTAAGTTTTTCATAGTAATGATAAGAAATAAAACAACAAATGTAAGGAAAAAGTGCTATAAATCGTACCTGGATAAAGAAGCGGGGCGAAGAAACAGTTATAAACAAGAGAAATTTGAAAATAAGGATGAATTAGCAAGAATGGATCCAAATAAAACGAGAAGGTGATGAAATCAGAGGTCATCAAAGCTTAAGAAAGGAAGAAAGGAGTTGTGAGAAGGAATGAAAATTGTTTGAAAGACCAAAATAACCTTTATATAGTGGAGTTGGATGGGTGAATCAATGATGCAGAATGAAAGATAATGAAAAAATGAAAAAACAACGGTCAAATTTCACCTCAAAAATATAATGACACTTGAGTACACTCGAGCATAATAGAGGGAAGTGTTGTCCTAACCTACAAACCTAGAGCCACATTTGAAGGGAATCATACAAAACGTCTCAATAATGAGACTAACATTTCATGTAGTTGTCCCCAAATATCTTCCGCTTCTCAACACAAGATCTCGACTAAGGACATCCGACTCAGTTCTATGAAAGACGTCTCACACATCATGTCATGGAAAACCTTGGAGACAATTGTTCTGGGTCTGCCACATGTCTAATATTGCATAAGTCCGATTGTCACTCATGGAATATAAACCACCACGCATATAATAAAATATATGATTCTATTCATAATAGACTCTATCCCACTTTATTCACTCATTAACTTAAATATTGGAGTATTAATCTTATTAGTCCACCCCCACACAATCACATTGTGCACCACCAATCAAGAATGACAATTTTGATTCCCCAAAGGAACAACTTTATATTTGTAAAAATTAATCCTAAGACAACCATAAGCATTTTATTTTGAAAAATGTCTAATTGTTCAATGAAAAACAAGTTTTTTATTACCTTAATTACAACGGTATAGGTTAAACATCGTTTATATATATATATATATATATTTAATTGATCAAATATATATTATATCTCATATTTTGATAATACTTGGCATAACAATCATATGTATAACAAAGCCATGCGATAACATGGGTATTTGGCTAGTATATATGAAACACGAAAATATCACCATGACAAATACTAGTATTGAATTTCACTATTGATTGAAATAAAAAGGGCATTAATACATACACTCATATATAAATACCTTCATCTTATAACCACATCCTTACAAAAATAGCATTAGTAATTTCCACACTCACACAAACATTTACTTTATGTAGAACAATGAACAACTATCTAATTACAATAAACAGAATCAAATCACAAATTTATAAAGAAATTTATTCTGGTAACTTGTTCTTCAATCAATTGGATTACTCCTGAATCCTTCCTTCACCCACAACTTTGCCATCATGTTTCCCTTCTGCAACAGAATCTTTATTCTTCGATAAGTCTTCGGTACCAATTCCCGCACCTATAACAAAACCATCAAAATCAGAACCATATCATATATATATATATATATATATATATATATATATATATATATATATATAACACAGCATTATGCAAAATGTAGTAGAAAAAGAATTACCCTGTGGTGATGGATTCTCTTCAGATTTGGCAAACCAAGATCCAACATAACCCGTAACCCTGTCAACCACACCTTTTCCTGGACTAGCCACATTGCTTTCTTCAACAAACACTTTCTCTGGCTTCTCAACCTCACTGTCAAATTTTCCATCCTCACTTTTCAACGGCTCGTCTTTCCCTTTATGTAAAGCTTCTGTAATCACCTCAGCAAGTGCCTTATCTTCTTCACCAGGCCTTGACTTCTCATTGAAATAGTCCCTCACAGCAGCCCCTTTGTCCGTTTCAGTTCCATCATTTGTATTACTACCAGTGCTAGTTCCATCGTTACTGGGCTTAAAAGCTTCATCGTCTTCACGAGTGAGAGTTTTATCAGCTGTTGTTGCAGAAGCGAATTCATTTTCATCTGCGTAACTTTTGTTGTGCTTTGGTTGTGTCTCCACTGATTCTGCATAACCTGGTTGATTTTCAGCAGTGTTGGTAACAGTGTTAAAAGTTTCTTCAGTTTCTGAGGGGTTTTCATGGTTTTTATTGATACCTTTGGATACTGTTTCTTGAGAAAACTCATTATGACTTTTTGATGCATCAAAGAAGTGCGGCGCAGGCTGACGAATATCGTGGCTTCCAGCAGAAGCAGGATATTCAGTGTCAGCAACAGATGGCTCAATTTTTAGTTCTCTGATAGGTTTTGGCTCATCATCATCATGCACATTCAATCTCTCTAGAGATTCCTCAAGTGGTGTAAAGTCTTTTACCTCATCACTTCCTGTAAACAAGCACAAAATTAGTACACCATTAATATATTGATACAGAATGCAGTGATCTATATAGAAAAACCAAAAAAACGAGTTCTGAAATTTTGTTGAATCGGCCTACTTAGTACTTACCAACACCACTTGGATCAGTGTCTCTTGTTTGATAACCGGGAATAGTATATGCCTCAGTTCTACTTTCTTGATCTTGAGAATCTTCCTCCGAAAAGTCATGGTGAGGATATTCATTCTTAGTTTTTGTTGCATCAGAGAAGTGTGGCACAAACTGATCATGGCTTCCAGCAGAAGGAGGGTATTCAGTGTCAGCAACAGGTTTTGACTCATCATCATGAACATTCAATTTCCCAAGAGATTCCTCAAGTGGTTTAACGTCTCTTAATTCACCTTCTTCACTTGGATATGTGTCACTGGTTTGATACTTGGGAAGAGTATTTGCCTCAATTCTACTTCCTTGTTTTTCAAAGTCTTCCGAAAATCCATGGCTCTCCGAATTGGCCTTGAATTGATCTGACTTATCTTCCACGGAAAATGGTTTGGCTATGTTTTGATTGGTTTCAGTGGTTGTTTCAGAAACACCTTCAAATAGTGTATCACGACGAGGTTCTTCTCCCTTAACTTTTGCATCTTCAAAACCAACTTCTGAATTTCCGAAATCTTCAACTTGCTTGTATTCAGGTGGAGATGTAGCACTTTTAACATCTTCACTTGGATAAGTGTCACTGGTTTGATGCTTGGGAAGAGTATATGCCTCAATTCCTCTTCCTTGTTCTTCAAAATCTTCAGAAAATCTAGGCCTCTCCAAATTGGCCTTGAATTGCTCTGGCTTATTATCTTCCACAACAAATGGTTTGGCTATGTTTTGATTGGTTTCAGTGGTGGTTGCAGAATCACCTTCAAATAGTGAATCGCCACGAGGTTCTTCTCCCTTAACTTTTTCACCTTCAAAACCAATTCCCGAACTTCCAAAATTTTCAACTTGCTTGTATTCAGGTGGAGATGTAGCACTTTTAACATCTTCACTTGGATAAGTGTCATTGGTTTGATGCTTGGGAAGAGTATATGCCTCAATTCCTCTTCCTTGTTCTTCAAAATCTTCAGAAAATCCAGGCCTCTCCAAATTGGCCTTGAATTGCTCTGGCTTATTATCTTCCACAGCAAATGGTTTGGCTATGTTTTGATTGGTTTCAGTGGTGGTTGCAGAATCACCTTCAAATAGTGAATCGCCACGAGGTTCTTCTCCCTTAACTTTTTCACCTTCAAAACCAATTCCCGAACTTCCAAAATTTTCACCTTGCTTGTATTCAGGTGGAGATGTAGCACTTTTAACATCTTCACTTGGATAAGTGTCATTTGTTTGATGCTTGGGAAGATTATAGGCCTCAGTTCTACTTACTTGTTCTTCAAAATCTTCTTTCGAAAATCCCAGCCTCGCCAAATTGGCCTTGAATTGATCTGGCTTATCGTCCACAGAAAATGGTTTGGCTATGTTTTGATTGGATTCAGTGGTTGTTGAAGAAACATCATCATCCAGTGAATCGCGGCGAGGCTCTTCTCCTACAACTTTTGCACCTTCAAAATCAATTCCTGATTTTCCTAAATTCTCAACTGGCTCAGATTCAAATTTAGGTGTAGCACTTTTAACATCTTCACTGTCATAAACTGTACAACATCGAGTTTAATTGATATGCACTGTGATTAACTGGTCGAGTAAAATTTCTATACACCATCGGTGTATTTCAATTAAATTAACATATAAGAAAAAGGTTTCAGAATTCTTTTTGATATTAATATTAAAACAAAAGCATGTAGAGTTTTTTTCCTCACCTTCAACATTTGGATCAGTGTCTCTGGTTTGATACTTGGGAATATCATATGCATCAGTTCTACTCCCTTGTTCTTGAGAATCTTCCTTCGAAACTATCGGCCCCTCGAAATCGGCCTTGAATTGGTCTGGCTTCTCTTCAAGAGCAAATGGTTTGGCCTTGTCAGTGGCTATGTTTTGATTGGTTTCAGTGGTTGAAGAAACACCTTCAGTTAATGGATCATGATAAGGTTCTTCTCCTACATCTTTTGAACCTTCCAAATCAAATACCAAATTTCTTAAATTTTCAACTTTCCCAGATTCAGTTGTGGCTGTAGCATTTTTACCCTCTCTACCACCATAATCTTTACAACATCCAAACACATAATTGAAAAAGGTTCAGAATCATTTTGATATTGATATAGTAACAAAAATCTGTAGATTCTTATTTAAAATAAGTATCTAAAACCTATGTGCCATTAGGACGATACTCTAGATACCTGACTCTCATGTGTCAGTGTCGTGTCATGTGTCAGTGACTCATAATCTAACATATTCTAATTGCAAATAATGTAAAGATGAACATACTTGGTGCTTGATGGCCTAGTGGCTCTTGAACATTTTCTTTACTCTCATCCAAGTCACCAACATCATCATCATCTTCATCCTCTTCAGGATTATGCTGAATTTCACTGTCATGTCCACTAGTTTGATCAGGTGTTTGTTGACTATGCCCCGTGATACTGTTCTTAATTTTCCTAGCCCTTGCCTTCACCCTACTCATAACAGATTTCTTCTCAGGCTCAGTGTGCTCTTCTGCATCATGTGTCACCACTACATCCAAAAAAATTGAAACATAAACAAAATATAGAATACTAATTGTTTGAGATATTCAATATATCATATAATCTTCTTACCTTGTTGTGAATCAAGGTTTTGTTCATCCTTGTTCTCAACCACTTTACTTTGAACTACTCTTGAATCCATGATTGATTGGTTTTGTAGTAACAAAAACAAGAAAAGAAAGTACTATAATAGAAAGAACATATAAGCTTCTTTTTATAGAGAAAAAAAAAAACCAACACCGTGAAACTGATTTTGGAGACACGTGTCACGTAACCGACATTTGACAGTTGTTAAGAATATTTGTACACGTGGAGTGATGTAATTGGTAGTTTTTGTGAGAGGATAAAAATGTTTCCTGTGCTAAAAGGGATAATAGACGAGTATGGATGAAAATGAAACCGTACAAGTGTCGACATGAAATCAATAGTGGTACTGTAGCATTTTCTAAATAAAAATGTTACGTCGACATTAAATAGGATGTTTAGAAAATGATAATTATGAGTGTCTGTCGACATTATAAGATGAAATGGACGGTTCTTTATGTCACTCTCCAAATAATGTGGCTGTTAGAAAGGTTACTTTTAGGAGGGTCCAACCTTGCTGGATTATTTTACAAGTAAACTATAGGGACTGTTGGATAGATCTTAAAAAAAAGTGAAGTATAAAAATAAAAATGACAGTTAAACTAGTGAATAAAAATGACAGTTAAACTAGTGAATATAGATTTAACAATTAAAAATCTAAAATCAATTTACAATTCTATTTAAGATAATGATAACTAGTCCCCTCAAAGGGTAGAAATTGAGAATGTTAGGTTAGACGTCAACTTTAGTACTCACGTTTTTGTGTGTGAATTTTTAGTGATTATTACTATTTCGTCTAAGTAATAAAAAAAAAAGATAAATAGCACCAATATTTGTATTATTGGTGCAATTTGGTTTATAAAATATCTATAAAAAATCACAAGAAACGGGATCCGAACTCAGTAAATAGTGTAAGTACCACAAGGTGAAAGGTCATCACAAATATGATTGCTATCAATTTAAGAAGGAAATCAAACGGCTCGTACAATAGGGCCATTTGAAGGAGTATATAAGAGGAAGCTCCCAACAGACCAAAGGCAGTTCCAGGACTCACAAAATAGATCATCCTACAAGCTCAAGATCCATGAAAGATAAAAAGCATGAAACAAGAGGGAAGACAAACTAGTGTGTCACACCCTGAACACTATCATTGGAGAATTCGCAATGGGAGAAAGTTCAAGCTCATCTGGTCGGCGATATATTCGTCAAGTCATGGTGGTAGAAAATTTGCATACTAAATATAAGGCGGAGTTGGAGGACGACCTAGATCCAGAAATCTTTCTCTCATAAAAAGACGTCAATGGATCCTCCCCCACAAGAATGACGTTATGATCATAAAGGTGTCGTGCGATAATTGAGAGATCAAGAGAGTGATGATCGACCCAGGAAGTTCGGCGAACGTCTTATACTGGGACGTCTTTGACAAATTGAAGTTGGATCCATAAGAGCTCTAACCTTTCAGAGGCTCTCTAGTGAGATTTTTGGGCGAGTAGATCCAAGTGAAGGCTATATCCCTCTCAAGATAGTCTTCAGGATTAAGGAGAACGCCAAGATGATTAAAGCCATGTATCTTGTGGTAGATGCCTTGTACTCGTATAACAATATCATTGGGTGACCTAATTTGAACCTTCTAGGGACCGCCCTATCAACTCTATATCCATGCATGAAGTATTTGTTGTTAAATGATCATGTTAGCATGATCCAAGGGGATGAAGAAATCGCCAGAAGGTGTTATTTTGTATATTTGAACCCCATGATAGAGCATAAGAGAGAGAGAGCGATAGAATCACACCCATAGAAGAGTTGAATGAGGTCTAAATCGGTCCCCAAGAATCTCATACCACTAAACTAGGAACATCTTCGACGAAAGTTGAGGAGGAAGACATGAGTGCCCTGCTCAGGAGAAACCTCCACCTATTCTTCTAGGAACCCTTTTGATATGCTCGGGATAGACATCAAGACCACTGACGGAGGAAACTCTAAAGTGATCTGGAAGAGATCTTGAAATCAGACAATAATAACAACATGCGTCTAAACCCATCCAAATGATCTATTTAGATTCTAGAAGGCAAGTTTTTAGGATTCATGCTGACAAGGAAGGGAATATAGGCGAACCTTGACAAGTGTTGGGTGATTATTGATATGAGAAGCCCCACTTTGGGGAAAGAGGTGCAATGGATAACAGTGAGATTGGTCACATTGTACATATTTCTTTCTTATGCAAGTGTTGTACTCCAAAATTCGCCCTCCCATTTTCTTCAAGACATCTTCTCATGCTTCTAGGGTCTTCAATTGCTCAAGGCTACTCAAGGTTTGATCAGACAAATTCTCCTCCTAAGCAGTTGACCTACAACTAGGGTTTTGCTTTTCTCAAGAAAATGTAAGCTTATAATGCCTCAAGTGGATTTCATGGTTCCTCACATGTCTCAAGATAAGCATAATCGAATCAACACACTTGCACACTTGCACCTCTAGGGTAGCCTCTCTCGTTGCCTTCGGAATAAAACGACCATGTCCCTCGAAAGTGGGGATGCTTAACAAAGTTCCTTCAAATAAAATATCATAGTCCCTCGATGACCCTTCGACTTTACCTTTCGATAAATGATCTTGTCCCTTACAAAATTGCTAAAGTGTCCTTACTAGTTGCCTTTGATGACTGAACGATGACCCTTTGCATGTCCTTTCACATCCAAAAGATAGGGCTACCTACCAACTAATGGTATGGATAGCACTATCTCTAAAGGAGAAGGAAAATAACAAGGACGACCTTGAGTGGATAAAACTGTTATCGCTCGCTCACAACATTTTCTAAAAACATTTTCACACATCACTTTCAAAAAATATTTACTAAAAACACTTTGTATGTGTTCTTGAGGACTGGTTCAAGAACCATTACAAAGATAGATGTACTTTGGCTTTTCAAAATATTTTCAAACACTTACACGGAAAAATTAATTTTCAAAAGTGGGCTAGCGATTAAGAGCTTGTAGATAACTACGAATGAAAAGGGTGCTAACACCTTCCCTTTTCATAACTTACCCCTCAAACTCAAAATCTATCAAAGGTCTTTCCTGTTCTTTTCACCTTTCCTAAATATTGGATAAAAGAAAAGTCGGTGGCGACTCTTGCTATTCGCAACATTTGCAATAAAATGCAAAATAAGTCAGTTCTCTCATCGTATTATAGAACTGATGACTCTGTTGGGGATATACTTAAAAAAAGGGGTTACCTTAGAGTTTTTAGATCACTTTACTTGCTTTATTTGTCTGCTTTATTTGATTTATCTTTAAGGGTTGCTTGGGTTTAATTTCTTGCAAAGATCCTACACCCGGATCTAGGGATACCTTAGATAAGTAACAATAGATCATGAAAATTGTACAGCGTAGATCAATATGGTTGAAGTGATGGCTACGTTAGTGTGACACTTTGGTTTATACTGATGTTCCTTGAGTCAATCGAGGATAACATTGGGCTGCCGCATGGTGTCATAAGCATTAACTGACTTTTAGAACCTTAATTGACCCATCTTGGCCATTAGAAGGTAGTGAGATGGCCGACTTTGGTGCAGTCCAAGGTTGGTTGATACTCGATGCTACACTCATTGAGATTCAATTTGTGGGATGTTTTGGTGGCAAATCAGTTGTTGTACTAAAATAAAACCTTTGAGAAAGATCAGTGATATGAGATTCCTAGAACCTGATTATAGAAACTAGTTTTTTAATTAGAGCCGCCACTATTAGTTTTTTTCCTAGGGAAGGGAATCTAACAGAAAACCCTAAT